GAAGGAAGGAAGGAAGGAAGGAAGGAAGGAAGGAAGGAAGGAAGAACAAGAACAAGAAATGACATAATATTTGCACAATTGTCAAATCGATTTATCTGTTCCTTTTTCTTTTCAGAGAGAAAGGCATCACTGACGTTTCAACCCAGCTTCAGTGGTTTGTTCAAACTCTTTTACTGGGAGCACCTTCTCTGTTTTATTTGCTGCGTTACAAACGACAGAAGAAAAGGCAATGAAGGATCCAGGCAGCAGAGAACTGGAAAGCTAGTCTGATGTTTTAGTAATTGTTTCTGCCTCCAGCTGGCTTGGTCCCTACCGTTTCCCTGAAAATAAGACCTAACCTGAAAATAAGCCCTAGGATGATTTTTCAGGATGCTTGTAATATAAGCCCTGCCCCCAAAATAAGCCCTAGTTAAGTGAAACCCTGCCCTCCAGCATTGTCCAGCAACCAGAAGAAGATGACGTGAATGAATAAACATAGATTGTACATGAAAAAAATAAAATAAAGCATCCCCTGAAAATAAGCCCTAATGCATTTTTGGAGCAAAAATTAATATAAGACCCTGTTTTATTTTGAGGGAAACAGGGTACATATTTAATGTGTTCCACTTACATGATATTCCATCTTAGCTGGAATGATACTGCTGTCTTTCATGGGGAAAATGATAAAACTAGTTTATGCAGTTATTTCTAATGTTGCTCAGCCTGGACTACTGCACAATGAAATGAGCAAAAAGAAAGGAAGAAAAGGAAAGGAAAAAAATACAGATACACGATCGTCCTGGAAAAAAAGATGTGGCTGAGCTGGAAGACAATGGTGCAGTATAAACAGACTACAAGGCTGGATACAGTACTTTCAGTGCCTCCAGGCCCAGAGTGTACCCATAAAAGATCACATCATGTATCTCAGGACAAAGGGATGATTAATTACTTTCTGAGAATAAAGAAAAGTGGTGCGATGCATTTTGGTTCCAAGCTTGCCATTTACCAACACAGAACTAAATTTTAGGGCTGAAGATAAGGAAGACAACCAGAATCCAAGAAGATTAGGGGCATCAGTTGAAAAAACAACCACCACACAATTGTTGGTTGGGACAAGGAGACTCGCATTCACTCCCACATATAGTTTTAGAAGAGGCAGCCGTGTTAGCCTGTGCTAGCATATCAGGCTAAAAACAAAAGAAACATTTAAAAAATTAAAGATGACAAAAACATTGTGACACCTTAATGACAACTGCTATTTTTCAATGGGAGCTTTCTTGGGCTTTGTTTGTTTGTTTTTGGTCATTTTCATTCACATTCTCATTCACTCTCACATACAGATGCTTCTCAATTCACTTTTTCTCACGTAATTTTTACTTTTTGAAGATTTTGACCCCTCTGAGGCTTTGGGGCCTTCATTTGTCTTGATTCACTTTTTACAATAGGTTCGATTATGCTTTCTGGGTGATTCTACATCTCCCTTACTGCCTTGTTTCATTTACAGTGGTGCCCCGCATAGCGACGTTAATCCATTCCGGATTAATCGTCGCTGTGCAGAAACATCCCTAAATGGAACGGAAAAAGCCATAGGAACGCATTAAACTTCGTTTAATGCGTTCCTATGGCTCCCAGACTCACCGTTCAGTGAAGTTCCTCCATAGCGCCGCCATTTTAGCGCCCTTGGTCAGCGAGGGCAGGGCGCGAAAACACTTGCGGCAGCCATTTTGGGCATCCGGTGGCCATTTTGGAACCGCCGATCAGCTGTTTAAAAAAACATCGCAATGTGAAGATCGGTAAGCGAAACACTTACCGATCATCGTGATGCGATGTTTTGCCTATTCAGAACATCGCAATGCGATCGCATTAGCGATCTAAAAAAATAGATCGCTATGCGGATTCGTCGTTAAACGGTGCGCTCGATAAGCGAGGCACCACTGTATTACACACGGAGGGGGAAGATTTCTGTTATGCCGTGTCTTCCTTTTGTGGGCTTTATTCCATTTCTCTGATGTTATTTAAATAAATCTTCAAATGAATTGCACACGTGGATAGCCTCAAATAATCTTTAGTTACACTTTTCATTCACAGGTGCCAATAAAGGACCCCCTTTTCAGTCTTTCAGTGTTCAGGATAGTGTTCAAGAAAGATCAGTGCTTTAGTTGTCTGGCTGCAGAGCCAGAGATTGAGAGGTCAATTCCTCGCTGTGCCTCCTTGATAGGGGCCATTAAGAATAAAAATACACTAAATCACGAATAAATATTAGTCTCAAAGCTCACCCTATTTGATTGCTGCTATGAGTATCTTTGCTTGGCGTGTCTGGGATTTCTAGTACCAGCCACTTAAAACCAAGCAATGTTTTATTCAAATATGCAGACTTATGCAAAAATAAAAACATGGATCATTCTGTTTCAAGCAAAACAAAACTTGCAAAGAAACCCTCTTTTATGTTCAACAAAAATCCTTAAGAGATTGTTTACAGGCCACTTTAAGAACATACACATGGCTCTCTACAGGGAAACAAAAGGGTCACAGTCAGTCTGCAACAAATACAAGTTGCGTGATCACATTTTTCATACAACTCTCTAGGTGGCCACCCTTGTTTTCAGATAAAGAGGACCAAAAGGAAGATGAGTGGGGCAAAGCGGGGAGGAGAGAGGAAGGGAAAAAACTGAACAGAAGACATGATTCCTTCATCCTGTATTTAAAAGCCATGCTTCAAGATATAAGAAAAAGCCAGAAAATACCCATTAAATTTTTAAGAGAAAAAGTGCTTTCCAGCCCCTTTCTTTATTCCCAGAATATAAATTACCCCTTTGTCCTAAGACAAATGATGTAACTGCAGCATCTTATTAGGGTATACTCTGGGCCTGGAGCCACTGGAAGTATCCAGCCTTTGTCATCTGTTCATGCTGTTCCACTGTCTTCCAGCTTGAGCAGAGCCTTGTTGACACAACCACCATATAGGTCTCCCCCCCGCCCCCCCCACCCCCTCATTCCATCATGCATCATCCATCCATCCAAATGTCAAAAGTGCTCTAAAATATCAGTATAATGAATTGCTATGTTTTGTCAATCTCCACAACTCTTTCCAGCTCAGCCTGGTCCTAAGGAACTCTCTGTTCCATCAATTCCCTTTGCCAAATGATCCGTGAAGGCAATCATGATGGTATATCAACCGATTATTATTCCAGTGCCAGACATTTCAAGGAGCCACTCCACCACAGCAAGGACCACTTCCACCAGCTGCGTATCTGTGAGACAGCTTACCCAACCTTTGCTGTTTGATGACTGCGTCTTCATTCCCATGTGTGGGTGCACAAAGGCCACAAAGAAGAAAAACAGGTTCCCTATCTGTATTGTTTGTTCTTCAAGTAGTCCTACCTGCATTCCCGTGACCAGTCCTTCTCCCCCTCTTCAACAGCTGCAGTTAACGGAGCCTCTCCCACTATCCCCTGAAATCGTTGAACTGAGGGACAATGCACTGACATGTATGCTGTAGACCGGAGGGGCAGCACTAGCGGCAAACTCTATCTAGAATGTTCCAAACAGTCACTTTATAGAGGCACAAGTGACCACCCAAAGAACAAATGTTACGATAAGCTGTCCCCAACTTTGGGGGGGGGGAAGATCACTATCCCCAAACATTTTCTGAATATGGAGCTCCCACGTCAAGCCTAGTTTGGCCCTCTGTGTTCAAGGCAACAGTAGAAAGCAAATCTTCAGCGCAGTCTGAGGAATGTTTACCCAGAGGTAAGCCACACTTCACTCGAGTGCTGAAGAAGACTTGTGTGGCTGAAACATTTCTATGGCAAACCCTTTGTTTTCATGTTCCTAATTCACGGCATGTTGTGAGCTTGCTATTCAGCTTTTGGGGTTTAATTCTGTACTAAACTTACATATAGAGATGGAGGGTCCCTCTCCTCCCCTGACCTACATCATACTACTCCTGATAACAAGAGGCCTCATGTCTCTGTATTTCAGTTGCCGGGAAACCCAATAGGAAATGGGCCATGCCCTCTCCTGTCTCCCTCTCATTCACAGGAAGAAACTAGTGACCAGCAAATTAATTAATTCAACGGGCTGGAATCCTATTAATCACGTCTGCAAGAGAAATGCTAGCAGCATAACTTCCAGTAGCAAATTGCTGTTACTAAGTTGTTTCGAATTACAGTATATACCACCCTGTAGTGCTGGAACACCCTCTGGCCAGTTTACAACATTGTTATAGAAGCAACAATTTGCCCCGAGGAGAGCTGGGTACTCACTTTACCAACCTTGGAAGGATGGAAGGCTGAGTAAACCTTGAGTTGATTACCTGAACCCATACAGATTGAACTCAAGTCGTGAGCAGAGGCTTGACTGTGAAACTGCAGTTTAACCACTGTGCCACAGGGCATTGAGTTAGCTGAGGCCTTTCTTATCATGTACTAATCCCTAAAATTTCAGGGAAGCTTCCTCTGATTCTGCTCTATATTTATACCCACAAAGAGCCTACCCGCCCCCGGGAAGTTCCCCACAGGCACCTAGAGACACCAAAATCACAGAGATCCTTCTACTGACTCTCTGCAATCCCTCTAACCTTGGTGGAGATTGGGTTTCCTCATGCCAGCTGCTAAAGAGCACTTTCCTGGGGGGACCCACTTTATTGGTGTATAACCTGGATGTCTGAAGCCCAATCTTCACCAAACGTGCAGGGTTCATAGAGGAGAGCCAGAGAAGCTTTCTGGCAAGTTTAGTGTCTCTAGCTGCTGGGGGGTGGGCACTTATAGTGTTTTAAATTCAAAAACAAATTGATGAATTGATATGTCAATTCATCAGAAAAAAAATCATAAATTCATTATTCATGATTCATCACCCTGATGAATCACAAATCACTATTTTTCTGATCCATGGCCATCTCTAGTTAAAACCATTCCTTAAATATCTCACATGGCTAGGAAACCTCATTAGGATGGTAATCAGACTCAATTTGATGATATATACCAAAATAAATTCCCATTTCACTTAATCTCCATCCCAAAACTGTGTGTACTGTGTATAAACATGCTCATTTGGTGAGGATGCAAGACAGCGCCTGTTTATGAAATGCATCATCTTGGGAAGCCATGTAGGCCCCTTCCTCTGGCAGGCAAAAATCTCCCTTTTTAAGCAGCATATTTATTGATTTGGACAAACAAATGCATTAGGAATGCTGCATTTATTGGATCAGGGGAGAGATAGTATTT